GAGGTAGATGGAGATGGGCAGGAAAAGGAAGGAAACCTTATGGCCAGGCTGCTTGATCTTAGTTGCAGTTTATTCCAATCCTCTCTCCACTCTCGTACCAAAGACTAGCCTGCCTAGAGCTGGGAATCTGCAACCCAAAGATCAGGCCTGGCTAGCACCTGAGATCTCCGTATCTAACTAAGACCTGCTAGGTTCTGTGAGAAAAAGGGAAACTGCCTCTTACAAATTTTTCATAAAAGTTAGCTGAGGCTTGTAAGACAAGTTCTTGCTTTCTCTGAACTCTTATTTCACTTTAGTTTCAGGCTCTAGTTCCATAGCTCTTCTAGACAGTACAAGATTCTTAAGTTCAAAAAGGATTTCAACTGTTAATAATATAATCAATGTTCTTCTAACAAGAAATTTAGATTGAGAATTCTGCTTTCTCTGTAGGCTCAACCTTCTGATAAGGATTAACCCTTGTCTAACAGGTTCCTAAAACAACTGCATTTCTTAAATCACTGGGTTGCATGTCACTAACTTCTCTAAAATTTCTACTTCTGATTTCAGCCTGGTTCCAACACTCAAGTGTTCCACACAGACACACAGACAGACAGACAGTCAGACACAGACAGACGGACACAGACAGACAGACAGTGAATTGACGAAAACACCACACGTACATGTGCACATATCTGTAGTTGATCGATCAATCTGACCCTTCAAAAAAATGGCAGGGAGAAACTGATGGACTGAGAAAGGGACAGCTCCCAGGGCGGCTGATTGGGAACTCTGCTCCTCATTTCCCAGCCTAACTAGTCAGTCTCCCACTTGTTAAAAATGGGTCAAGAAAGCGCTTTTGTTGATATAAGCCGGCAAAATAAACTATGACAAAGATGTTACCATATTTTCGCCAAGGCTAATTCTGAGGCAGGGAACTAGTACCTTCCTATCAGACATGGGGATAGGCTTCTTTGTTTCTGATGTCAAACAGTTAATCATAAGATCTCGCATTTTCCTGCCTCCTCTGCTTTGATACTCTCCTATTTCTTTTGTTACCTGCAAAGATCTGACTGCAAAATGATCTGGTAATGCAAACTGCCATTCACTGGCTATCTTTCCCCAATATACTCAGGCCACATGGTGTTACAGAGGTCAATAAGATCTCCTTATCTAAAACTACCTAGTTGGAAGCTCCTCAGATGATTTCCTAATTGCAAGCAATAATCTATGAAAAGGGATGGTTCCTTGGCAAAACTTTTCTCCAGGTCTATCACTTTTGCCTCTCCTAAGGGGACTCTAACCTCCCTTAAATTGGCCTTTATTCAGAGGCTCATCTCTACCTGGGTGGGCCTGGCTTTGGGCAGACCCACAGCTGTGTGCCTGAGCCAAACTTAGTGCTGTGGTCTTAAAAACTCTGCTCCTTAAAAAAAAAACAGTTCTGCCTTCTCTCAGCTTGCTACATCTTCCCTGCTTTTGCTGGCTTGCTGCTTTTCTTAGGCTTCTTACCTGCCTTTTACCCCTTTTTTTTTCTTTCTGCCTTACATCTGGACTGCCTTCATTAGCATTTGAATTGACCTCTAGCTGAGACTGGGTGGGGAAAAGGATTTTCTGCCTGTAAATTGATCTGCCTTAGTTTCCCAGAATCTTCTCACTAGTGGGCTTTCCTCCCATCCCCCCAATAGTGGATGGTGATGCAAGACAGACAAAGGAGGGGTGCCTCTTGGCAGAGACTATTCAGATGCTTGCCTGGAGGAGAACTTCACAGCAGATCTTCCACAGATTACCTCCTTTATCTGAGTCACAAGGTTTGGAGAGAAGGAACCTCGTGGGGGCCAATCCACACCGAAGGAAGGTCATTCTGATGAACAATAAGTGTCAAATTTACCTTTCTTGATTGTCAAGCCCAGATCCTGAGCTTTCCTGTGGATCTCAGAGAAGTGATCAATTCTGACCCGTATTAAACAATCTTAATAAACAGAATTAGGAGAAAGATAATAAATACACACACTATGGATACACGCACAGCTCACACTTAGGCACTCGCTCGGACCGGTCCACTCTTTCACACGGGTGTGCACCACACTCACCAGTCACCCTGGGACTCCCAAATATGCCCAAAGGGCATGCACATGATTTTTCACCTCCAGAGGGTTTAGTTCTTCCAAGTGAAGAGATCAGAAGTAGGGAAAGGCCAGTGCTGGCCCGGGAGTGGCAATAGAGAGTTCGGGGTTCAGGGGCAGAGGAGGAGCAGAGTAAGTGGGGGCCCCTTCTCCCCCCGGCCTGGCACTCCTGCCTAAGGCTCCTGGTCCGGGTACCCCCGGGGAGCAGGCTGGTAGATGACTCCCTTGACCTGGAAGATAAGAGGCGAGTGGAACGATCCCTCGGGGGGGCAACCAATCTGGAACGTCGGCCATCCTGCAGAGCAAAAGGTCTGCCATTTAGGCTTTTTAACAATCAGAAAAGGATTCTGAGCACGAGAGCAGACCTCTGACCAGTGGGAGAGAGTGAGTGAGAGGAGTGGACGGAGATTGTCCCATGGTTCCAAAGACGGTGTCTCGGTAGAGAAAAAGGACGAGCGTGATCCAACCTACAAAAAAAGAATGACGCAAGCGCAAGGCCTTTTGGAGAGGAAAGAAGAATAGAGAAGTAATAGAGCGGCCGATGATTCCTGACACACCAGATGTAGCCTCTCCGAGGCTACCACCAAAGAGGCCTCCAGGCGTCCCTGGCCCTCATCCACCTCCGGGGCGTCCCCCAGGGCTGCGGCCCGTGTCTATTCCCGACACGTCTGTCAGACACAAGGCTCGCACACACAACAGTGTGCTGCACACCACTGTCACTGTGCTTGCACACCACTGTGCTTGTGTCACCGATCGGTAACTAGAGTAAAACGGTACCGGAGAAACAAAGAGAGAGAAAGAGGCGCCTTAACTTACCCCGCGGCTCAATCCTGCGTCCCTGGGGCAGGGTCCTCGGTGATCTCGGTGGGACCTCCAAATGTTGGGATCGGGAGTTCCCTGGCCCTGGGAGGCGCGGAGAGACCAGATAGACACAATTCCTGCAGGAGTAAAAACGGGGTTTATTTAGACCAGCATGCTGGGGCTCCGCAGCATACCCCAGAAATGGGCAGTGGCTGAGAGCCCCGAACTTCTTCAAAGGGGATCTTATATAGGCCTTCACTGGCCTTTACAGCAAAGCCCGCGCATTTCATAGCCAATAGATTTGTAACAACATATACTTTCTTAACCAATCCATTTAAAAGTACCTCACTCCTTAGCCTATAGATTCAAAGATCAGCATTTACGTACATCGATTGTCAGCACAAGCAAGGTTATAGCTGGAATCATTAAGCCTTAGGTAATCTCCCTTGACCATCCTCGTTTTGTGTTACCCAAGTCTGCAGGGTGCTTTAGTGAGACAATACATTCCAGGAAAGGGCAATTTCCCCCAACCACCAGCATCCTGAGTTAGCCTTTACCCAAATCTGCAGGGTGCTTTACTGAGACAATACATTTCAGGGACAGTAAATACACCTGAATCTTGTAGAAAGAAGTTATGCCCTGTTCACTTTGCAAGTCCCCTCTCCCCCAGGTGCAAAGCAGCCAAGCAGTTTTACAGAAAGCAATGTTGCAAGTTAGCTAAAGTACACAAAAATTTGATGCCCTAAGATGGATTCTTTCAAAGCCTCAGTTGCCCTCACTTCCTAGCACCCCAAGGGCAGGGTCCCGACGTGGGACTGGATGGAACCAGGGCAAGCCGGTAAGTTATGTGCTACCCTGGCATCGCGATGGGCCAGGCCAAGGTGCCACGATTCTTAACTATAAGTTAAGGGGTTGATCATAGGCAAATGATGTCATGATCCAAAAGTAACGACGAGACTAGGGCCCTGCTGCTAGGAATAGGAAAGATATCTGGCCTGAGCACTGCAGTCTGAGATCGAGATTGCCCTAGGAGAGCAATTCTATAAACTCAAAGTATTTCTTACTGTGTCCATACAAAATGATTAATATTATGTATGCTTATATGTTGGTTGGACAAGGAGAGGAGAAACCCGTCCTAGAAGCAGTTTCCTGTGTGTCCTGACTAGCTTGGATGAGACTGCTTTCTCCCCTTCAAACTGTCTTCAGTAAATGATTTCAGTATATTGAGACAGTTTCCCCTTTCTCTCAGAAACCTAGCTGGTCTTAGATATGCAGCAGGTGCTAGCCAGGATTGATCTTTGGGATGTGGATTCCCAGCTCTAGCCAGGCTGGTCTTTGGGATGCAAATCAAGGTGCTTGAAGCTTGTGAAAGTGCTTGTGAAAGGTTTCAGTTTGGCTTTGTATCTTCTTTCCGGAGGCCAGTATTACTGGTCTGAGGATGTAAGGAAACAATGTGGATGTAAAGAAACAATGTATGGTTTGCCGCCTCAAAGTTCTTTCTGCAACTCCTTTTGATGACATCACTATATTGCGCCCTTTAGAGGTACTATGATCTATATAAGGGAGATTTCAGGGCTCTCTGGGGGGACACGTGCATCAGAGAGCCTGGGAAGATGGGACTGAGGACAGAAGCTGAGAGAACAAAGGTGCACGTGCTTGAGAATTCCTGAGGCCTCCATGACATACATCTCTTCCATGTAATAAACGGCTGCTAAGACCAACCAGCTTGGCCTCGTTTCCTTCCTTCGCCTGACCATTGCTATCGACCTCCGTGGAGTGGGGAAGCGGCCTGACCGCCGGCCTTTTTATTTTTTGTGTGTTTACACAATTGGTGAGGTTTTTGGCTGAATACCTTAACAAATTTTGCCTACATGAAAGTATTTCAAATTTATTAAGAAATTTTTCTGTACTAGCTATATAGAAGGGCACTTGTCTACTCACTTATCTGTATCGATTACTAAATCGATGTTTACTAAATAATTGTTTTGACTTGCTTTCTAATTTCTGTTCTTGGGAAATAAATGACTTGGTGCCTATATTTTACTTTCCTTTTATTTATTCTTAAAGCCAAAATAGCATTTTGACATTTCTATTTTCTAGCATGCCTTCCTAGATTTTATGGTTTGAATTGTGCTCACATCTTTGACTGCAAAAATCGAGCCAGCTGCAATACAGCAAGCGGACTATGCATCTGCCCAGCAGGTTTCCATGGCACCCAGCGTGAGAAAGGTATAGGAGTGTGTTTTTAAGTATGTTGTTAAGTGTCCTCTGAATGACTATCAGGTTTTCAAACATGTAAACCCCAATCAAAAGCAAAAAGTAAATCACGTTAGCTTCTAATTTGTATATTAAAAGTGACAAGAATTCACTCTATGGTCTATAGTCAGTATAACTAATCTTGATTTTCTTGATTGAGCAAAATGTGTACGCTTGTATAAAGAAATTTTTGAAAAAACAAATTACTACTATTCATTGGGAAGAGTCTATCTCATGTCAAAAATGTATTAAGTACTTTTGAAAGAATGACTTGTAGGGACTGAGGAAAAGAATGACAATTGGGAGAACACATGTCTAGCATGTATGAAGGTCTAAGTTTTATCTGTGATACCAAGTGGTGCTTTGAGATCCACAGAGTATGACCTAGTGACCTAGAGTCCTGCTGAACCCGAGTACCTAAAATTTAGGCAGTGAATCTATTGCTGGTGATGGCCCCACAGTCCACAAAGCAATACTGTGTGTGTCCCCTATAAAAATGGCTAAAATAGATATTAAAACTTTATGAAAGTATTTAAACATATAAATTATAAATTTAGAAAGTAATATGCTATAAATATGGATTGATAGATACCAGTAAGAATTTTTAAAGCAATTTAAATTAAACATGTCTGATCAGGCCCATTGGAATCAATACCAAACTAAATATTTCTCAGTCAATGTTCAAATTTAGTCTAGTTTTGTGTGATCCCTTGATTTTGAGTACAACAACCACAATTATGATTGTCTAATTATAGGTAATTTCAATTTACATGGATCCAAGTTATTGCCTTTTTTTTTATTGAAACATCGTGAGAGCAGTTAGAAAATTTTTGGTTTAAGTCTCAGTCATACAACGATGAAACACTCGACCCGTCACCAGCGCACATTTTCCACCACCCAAAACCCCACTATCCCCCCATACCACACCCTCCCCCTACCTGTGTGGCAGATGATTTCCACTTTGATTACATTCAACATTTTGACACCAAACCCACCATTATTATTTGAGATTTTACCCCAACACTCAGATCTGCCGAAAAGGCAACATTAGACAATTTGTTTTCTATTGCTGATTATGAATTACATATGATGATGTGCGGCCGCTACTGCGCCCACCCAATTTTGGAATTCTGAAGTTTTAATAATTAAATCTGGAGGGATTTCTTCTAAAAGCCGCTGGGTTCCGAGCTTTGTTTCTGAGTCTCTGGGATCATGGCTGAGAAGCAGCTCAATCAGCAGCCAGAGGGCTCATTCATGGGTGGAAACTTGGGGTCTCGTAGGTGCAGAGGGGGCTTGAGGGGGAGGGCCAGCTCCGCCCCCATCCCATGAGGCCCCATGTTCCTCATCACTGCATCACTGTGGGCCTCTCCCTGGCTGTCCCTAGACCTCTGGAAGATGGCGGCGGCAACCGAGTTTCCAGGGGAGGCAGGCCAAGGCATGAAACCCATTCTCACCTGGGGTGGCCTGGCTCTGGAAACCTAATGCATAGTCTGCATGCATTTCTGCCAAAAGCTGCTGGGTTTGTTTCTGAGTCTCTGGGATCATGGTTGATGAGCAGCTCAATCAGAAGCTAGAGTGCTCATTCGTTGCCTTGCCTTTTTTTTTTTAATTGAATCATGGTGATATGCACAGTTACAAAGCTGGTCATGATTTGGTTTCAGTAATACAATATCCCAACACCAATCCCTTCATCAGTATACAGTTCCCACCACCAGTATCACCAGTTTTGCACCCACCACCCACCCCTCCTCCTTCCTCAGACTGCCTCTGTGGCAAACACTTTTCTTCTTTCTCTCAATCATTCAAAAGGATCTATAGAAACAGAGAAAAAGTTAAGGTACTTGTTTTCTTGTGCCTGATACAAATCCCCAGGATCACACAGTCTCCTGAGCACCTCCATAATTGATACTGAGCACAGAGCAAGGAATATATTCTGCATACCATTAATCATTGCCCAAAATGAAAAGAAAAATAAATTAAATTAAAATAAATAAATAGTATCTGTATTTTAGTCCTATACCTTATCCTTATATGTCACTAAATCTTTATATATTACCTCTATGCCATTCTTATCCATTCATGCATTTAGTGATTCAATATAATAATTTAGACTGCTTTTGTAGCTATTACTATTAAATTCTGAGAATACAGTACGTCCTTACCCTCTTCTGTGGAGAATTAAGTAAAGTAAAGTAAAGTAAAGGCCCTCCTGTTGATCATCGATTTGCTTGAGCGGGCCCAGTAACGTCTCCGTTGGAGACTTTGTTGTTACTGTGTCTGGCATATCGAATACTCTCGGTAGCTTGCCGGGCTCTCCGAGAGGGGCGGAGGAATCGAACTCGGGTCGGCCATGTTGGCTACGTGCAAGGCAAACGTCCTACTGCTGTGCTATTCTAATAAAAATATTAAGAGTAATACATTTGATTAGAAAGATTTGGTGTCTTTCATTAAACTCTTTTCCTTTAAAAATATATCTTGTGTGTGCTGAGGGTGGATAATGGACCAAACATGATCACCTCTCAGTGTCTGTATTGCAAACCATAATGTTCAAAAGTAGAGAGAGAGTATGGGGAATATTGTTCGCCATGGAGATAGGGGGTGGGTGGGAAAAGGGGAGTATACTGGGAAAATTGGTGGTGGGGAATGTGCACCAATACTGGTGGAAGGATGGGTGTTTGATCGTTGTGTGATTGTAACCCAAACATGAAAGCTTGTAACTATCTCACAGTGATTCAATAAAAAGGCCCTCCCGTTGATCATCGATTTGCTCGAGCGGGCCCAGTAACGTCTCCATTGGAGACTTTGTTGTTACTGTGTCTGGCATATCGAATACTCTCGGTAGCTTGCCGGGCTCTCCGAGAGGGGCGGAGGAATCGAACTCGGGTCAGCCATTTTGGCTGCTTGTAAGGCGAATGCCCTACCCGCTGTGCTATCGCTCCAGCCCAGTGATTAATTGATTAAGTGATTAATTGATCACAGTGATTCAATAAAATTAAAAAAAATAATAAAATAAAAATAAATAAATAAAAATGTATCTTGAAGGGGGTGCAAACAAGTGTGTAAGTATATCAATTTTAAACCAAGTTTAAAAAATCATGTGTAAATAGAACTCCTTCCTGAGAATTTCAAAACTTCCTCTCTTCTGATCAACAAGTGTCATTTTATCAATCCACCTGGCTATTTAAAATTCAAACATGAGGAAATGATATTTTTTATTTAAATTTAGATGCACACGTGAAAGTGTTAGAGGTTAATTTTTCAACATTTCTCTTTCCTTAAAGAGTGTTTACCTGGAATGTTTGGAGTCAGTTGTCATCAACTCTGTGACTGTGAAGGGGGAGGTCTCTGCCAACCAGCAACTGGGAACTGTCTCTGCCCGCCTGGGAGAACGGGAGCTAGATGTAGCATTGGTATGAACCAAAGCACCCCACGACATGTCCCAACTCATGAATTATGTTGAGACTAGATGCAACATTGGTGTGAACCAAAGTACCTCATGACATGTCCCTGACTTGTGAATTATGTTGAAATGAGCAGACATGTTTATACTAAATACATCACACCATTAAAGAATTTGGCCCACTCTTTCTTGCCACTTTCCTTAGTACGAGTAACCAGGATAGTTCTTACATGAAACCTCCACCCAGCTCCACAAATGACAAACAGCACCTTAAAAATTACATCAGGGAGGGCTGAAGAAATAGTACAGTGAGTACAATTGCCTTGGATGAGGTCAAACCCAGGTTAAATTACACATGGTATATTGCAAATATTCAATGGGTACCAGTAACTTATGGGTTCATATGCATTGATATTAGAGATCCAATTTAGGTGCATATATCAAAAGCCTTTTTTTTTTTGTCTTGAGCCGTTACTGATGTCCACAGTCTACCCAGGTGTACTTAAGGGTTCTTTATTTTAGTTTTAGTTTTCATTAGGCCCAGTTCATTTTTGACATTAACTGTGAGCAGCTGTGTCTATGAAGGCATTATAAAGATAAAAGGGCTCATTTTAATTTGAATTCTGGCAAAGAACCTATTAAGCAGCCATAATGCTGATTCATAAAAGAATGTAGCAGATTTTTATTGAATTATTTCTCCCTCCCCTTGGTAAATTAGCATTCAAACATGTCTTTATTTTATTTTTTTTTTTTTGAGGCACTGTGGAATAAAAAAAGTTACAAAGCTGTTTATACTCAGGTTCTGGTCATGCAATGTTATGACAACATTAGTATGAATAACCAGGAAATATATAGTTCTTACGTTAAACAGTCATAAAACACCCATATCCCCACCAGTATACATTTCCCACCACCAATGACTACATTGCCCTCCCAGGCACTATTCTACTTTTCTTCTCTCCCTCTCTCCCCTCCTCTCTCCCTCTCTTCTCTCTCTCTCTTCTCTCTCACTCCCTCTCCCTCTCTCTCGCTCTCTCCCTCTCTCTCCTCCCTCTCTCTCTTTCTCTATCTCTCTCTCTCTCTCCCTCCCCCTCCCACTTTTTGGTCCAGGCCCTGAACCACATACAGTCTCCTGAGCCCCACCAGGAGAGATCTTGAGCTCTTTGAGTTAGAAGTAAATCCTGAACACCACTGGCTCTGTCAATGCTCCTTAGAAAAAAAAGAACTTTGTACTACTGTTAGCTCATGTTAGAGATCTATAAATAGAACTAATGGTACAATGATTTGTAAGTATCAAATGTCTCATCACTTGATCACTTGATATTCCATTACTCATCGATTTGCTCAAGCAGGCACCAGCAATGTCTCCATTCATCCCTGTTGCGTGCTAGTGTAGCCCAATGGCGTCTGCTCGCTCTCGGAACACAAACAGCCTCAAACCGATCATTCAGGGTCTTGACGAAGAAGTCTGACCATCTCGTAGGTGGGCAGCCATGCAAACTTTTTATGACCCATGGAATCCAGTCGGTAATGGCTCTAGTCCAGCCGTCGTCTCCAAATCCCATTACGTGTCCAGCCCATCTGATTTTCGATGCCTTGGCAAACAAGACAATGTCCCTGATTCTTGACCATGGACGGAGGTCGGAACTCCAGATTCTTTCTCTCATTTGAGTGAAGCGTGATACTCCAAGCATAGCTCTTTCGATTCCTCTTTGAGAGACCCGAATAGCGTTCTCATCCTGTTTCCATAGGGCCCAGGTCTCTGAGGCATATGTTAATGCAGGAAGAACAGTGGAATCAAAGAGATGTGCCCGGAGTTAGAAGTTCTTCATCCTCTTAGCTATTTCTTTGATGTTCTTGAAGGCATTCCAAGCTGCTCTCTTCCTCCTGCGCAACTCAGGTGCCAGGTCATTCGTCATGTTGACTTCTCGACCTAGGTACACATAACTGTTGCATTTGGAGATATTAGTCCCATTGAGAGTGAATGGAATGTCAGGGACAAGACCGTTTCTCATAAACATTATCTTCGTGATATTCAGCTGTAATCAGATCTTTCCACACTCACGGTCAAAGTCGGACAGCATTTGTGCCACTTGGCTGATATTTGGTGTTATTAGAATGATGTCATCAGCGAAGCAGAGGTGGTGTAGTTGCTGACCATCTATCTTCACTCCCATTCCTTCCAATTCCAGTCATCACATGATGTTCTCGAGGGTGGCACTGAAGAGTTTTGGTGAAATGCCATAACCCTGCCAAATCCCTCTCTTGACATCGATGATCACCTCCTTGTAGAATGGTGAGATCCTGGTAGTGAATCCATAATACAACTCATGGAGGATCCTGATGTGTTGAGTTTGAACGCCCTGTTTGACTAGAGCTTTGATGATGGCTTCAGTCCCAACAGAATCAAAGGCTTTTATTAAATCAATGAATGTTAGACAGAACAGCATCCTGATCTCCTGAGAATCCTCAATGAGCTTGGTTATCATGTGCATATGGTCGATCGTGCTGGATCCTTTTCAGAAACTGGCTTGCTGACATGGTTGTCCTTCAACTAGTGTTCTGCCAATCTTATTCAGTATGACTCTAGTGAACAGCTTGTAGATGACAGACAATAGTTGCGAATGTCGTGGATGTCTCCCTTCTTGTACAATCCTGCTGGTTTTCCATGGGGATGGAACCTTGCATTCAGACAGGTAGTATGTGAACAGCTGAGCCACTGTATTGATGAGTACTGACGGCAGTTTCTTCAGGTGATAGGGTCTGACCTTGTCTGGCCCGCGTGCTGTTCGCTTTTTTACCAACGAAATGGCATGTTGGATTTTGGAAGGGAGAACATTGGGAACGACATATCCATCCTGTGGAATTTGGTATGTGGGCAGGTGGACGTGGCTATCGAAGAGATTCGAGTAGAAATCAAGGATAATCTTCTCCATTGCCCTTCTGGAAGATGTGATAGATCCATCAGGATGTCAGAGGGCAGTCATCTTGGTCTTGGAGTTGGCGAAGGACAGGTGGGCTTTGAGAATGCTTTTCTTAGCTTCTGCCACATCTCCCAGCACTGCCGCCTTCTCTCTTTGAGGTCTTCATTGATTGCTTCTTTGCACTGATTTGCAAGCTCAGACATTCACTTGCAGTTACCTGAGGCTTATGCCAAGCCACGCTGGTGAATGAGCTCGAGAGGTTTTAAAGACAGGCATCTTTTTGTGGCTATCTCTCTCTTGGCATTCTTTGCACAATCATGGAGGTGTTGAACTAGTTGATCGTATTCTTTGTCAATGTTGTCAACGAAGGCATCTTCCCATGTTGCAGCAATAGTGCCAAAGAGTTCCCAGTTGGTGGTTGTCTGAGAAATCTCTTTTTAAACTTTGCAGCCTTTTCTTCCTGCTCTGTGAAGTAGAATTTTGCACAAAGGAGATAGTGGTCCTATCCCGTTTGGAATGTCTCATATTTAAATTTTAAATATTTTAATAAGGAGTGAAGGTAGACCACATCTTAGCCTACCTTTATTACTCACAAGTGAAACAGATACAAATGCTTCTGCATATTTTAAAAAGGCAAACTAATTTCCCACCAAACAAGGCAAATTGTGAGACTATAAAGATGATCTTCAGAATATTTAACTTTATAATGATAATTCCTCCAACACACTGGGAGTTAACACACTGGGAGTTAGGAACACATTAAAATGAGTTTGAAATGACAGAATACTATTTGTTTACTTTTCATAAAATTTTGGCTAGAGCAATAGTGCAATAGGTAGGACGTTTGCCTTGCATGCGGCTGACTTGGCCAATCCAAGTTCGATTCCTCCGCCCCTCTCAGAGAGCCCAGCAAGCTACTGAAAGTATCTCGCCCACACGCAAAGCCTGGCAAGCTACAAGTGACGTATTCGATATGCCAAACACAGTAACTAGTGTCACAATGGAGACGTTACTGGGCCC